ACTGTTCAGTTGACATAGAAACAACCAGCCACTACTTGAGAAATTATACACACTTGAATTTTCCACATCCAGAATTTTTGGTGAGGTGCACTAAACTTGTGACTCCAATTTATTTTTGACTCCTGCTACTGTGCTATATTATTTCCATAGCTTTTTATATATTTATTTACTATTCTTTATTTAGCACAAAGGTGTAAAAACTTTGTTTACCTACATCTTGCCTCATGGCTGAGAACTGGCTATACTAACTGGAGCTGATGGAAATGGAATTCTAACAACATCTGGATGACCATTTCTAAAGTATGGCAACCCTAAGGTGAGCCCATCACAGGGTTTACTTGGCAAGATTTGTTCAGATTAGCTTTTTTTAAAAAAAATGTCAGCAGCGACTTGAGAAACTGCAAGTTGCTTTGGGTGTGAGAGAATTGGCCGACTGCAAGAACGTTGCCCAGGGGATGCCCCAATATTTTAATGTTTTTCCCATCCTTGTAGGAGGCTTCTCTCATGTAGATGGTGTCATCTACGAAAATAACTGCTTCCAGCATATAAAAGGGGACAATTCCCCCTTCCTCATTCAGTTATTGCATGTCCTCAAAATCTCTTCCAGAAGATTGGCGAGTCCTCCAGAGACAATACTGATGGACACAAAGGAGTCATCCAGCGAGGTGGAGGGAGCAAGTTCTACCCATATTTCATTAGCTTCTGCCCCATATTACTTTCAGTGACCACTGGAGGCAAGTAAATTTTATTCAGTATATATTTGTAACATTGTATTTGAAGAACTGTGTTCTGAATATTTTTTAATTTGTGATTTGTTTTATTTATGCTGTTATTACCATAACTGCATTCCATGATATAAAAAAGATTTTAATTTGATTTTATTAAGCATTTATGCCCACCCAGAGTTGGTTTGTTTAAGACAGCTATTCAAAGCATATGGTAAGTGATACACTACAATAAATAAATGAATATCTTTGTGGGTCTGAGTTGGTTTTGTGCTTGGGGATCAAATATTTTTATGCTGGCGTGTAAAATGTAAAATATCGAGCAGGACTGAGCACAAGAAAGATTAAACCAACTCAGAGAAAGGCAGGAAAACAATAACAACAGCTGCAGAGGAAGAACATTATCTTTTTGAATGAGAGTTGTATAGAAACTAACAAATCCAGTCAATATATCAATAACCTGTAACTCGCAAATACTTACAGAAGTATCTGTACACATAATGGCAACGTATTGTATACCTTTAGAAAAATCCACAGAACAGTTTTATACCTATCGATTTCTATTAATATCCAAGAATCCCAAAAAATAAAATAGCTTGCAGCTTTACCTGCTGATATAAATGTGTCTATCCTGCCATATATCCAAGGATCTGGGGGTTGCCTACAGTAAGGTCACTTCTAACAATTTAAAATTATACATTTCATGCCATTGGCATGTGAATCATCTTACTTTGCCTCCAGATTGAAGTCCTGATCTCCAAGAAAATCCCACATGACCAGCTCTCAGATCAATATTAAAATACACATGGCCATTCCTAATGTTCTCATAGAAGCTTCCTTGACCCTTCAGTTATCTCCACACCTCTCAGTGAGAAAAAGAAGAAAGCAAATGATGGAAGAGGTTTTGCATATCAAGTATCCAAAGACAACCAGCTCTTCACCTTACCTCCAACCATTGGAAGCTTCCATGTCAGTAGAATGGTTGTAGAGCAGATTGATAAGGAGCTATCCAAGGTTCTGAACTAATGTCCAACCTCCCCTTTCTGAGTAAGGTTTTAGAGTGTGTGGTGGTCTCCCAACTCCAGGGATTTCTGGATGATACAGATTATCCAGATCCATTTCGATCTGGTTTAAGGCCTGTGTATGGAACAGAGACAGCTTTGGTCACCTCCACAGAGATAGAGGGGGTCTGTATGTGTTTATTGTCCTGGATCTCTCAGCAACTTTCAATAGCATTGACCATAGTATCCTTCTGGGTTATCTCACTAGGATGGGACTGGGAGTTAACTGTTTTAAAGTGACTCTGTTCCTTCCTGGAGGGCCATACCCAGAAGGTTGTGCTGGGAGACTCCTTTTCAAACCCCTAGCCATTGAGCTGTGGGATTCCTCAGGGTTCTCTGCTGTCTCCCATGCTGTTTAACATATACATGAAACCATTGGGAGAGATCATCCAGAGTTTTAGAGTTCAGTGCCACCTATATGCAGATGACATCCAACTCTACTACACCTTTCCACCGAAAGCCAGGAAAGCTGTCTTGACCCTAAACCTGTGTCTGTCTTCAGTAATGGACTGGATGAGGACAAACAAATTGAAACGTAATCCAGACAAGACAGAGGTGCTCCTGGTCAGTTGGAAGCAGATCAGGAAGTAGGGAACCAGTTTGTGCTGGATGGAGTCACAGTCCCCCTGAAGACACAGATCTGCAGTTTTGGGGTCCTCCTGGACTTGGTGCTGAACCTGGAGGCCCAGGTATCAGTGATGGCCAAGATGTCCTTTGCACACTTAAAACTTGTGCACCAACTGTGCCCATTCCTTGAGAAGCCAGATCTGGCCTCAGTGATCCATGCCTCAGTTACATCCCGTCTGGAATACTATAACACGTTCTACATGGGGCTGCCTCTGAAGAGTGCTTGGAAACTCCAGCTGGTCCAAAGAGCAGCAGCCAGGTTGCTCCCTGGGGCTGGCTACAGGGAGCAGACAACTCCCCTGTTGAAGCAGCTCCACTGACTGTCAATCTGTTGCTGGGCACAATTCAAAGTGCTGGTTATGACTTTTAAAGCCCTAGCTAGACAGTTAAGGTCCAGGCTATTTGGTCGACCGCATCACCTTGTGAGATCTTCAGGAGAGGCCCTTCTCTTAGTCCCACCTCCATCTTATGCTTGGTTGGTGGGAACGAGAGAGTGGGCCTTCCTTCTCTGTGGCTGCCTCTCAACTTTGGAATTCCCTGCCCAGGAAAGCCAGAATGACCCCCTCCCTGCTGTCCTGTTCAGGCAGTTTTTATGATCATCAAATGCTGCTGTGATTTTATATGCTTTTATGGTTTTAACTTGAATTGTTTTATTATTAATGACATTTAATACTATTTTAATATTTGTATATATGCACATTTTAAGTTGTAATGTAATGATTTTAGTTGTGAGCATTCTCAGAGGTTGTGAGGTTTCTTGGAAACTAGGCAAGTGAGATTTATATATCAGTGGTGGGAGAATGTTGCAGTTGGTCACCTTGATTAGCATTCAATGGCCTTGTAGCTTCAAAGCCTGGCTGCTTCCTGCCTGGGGGAATCCTTTGTTGGGAGGTGTTAGCTGGCCCTGATTGATTCCTGTCTGGAATTCCCCTATTTTTTTAGTGTTGCTCTTTATTTACTGTCCCTATTTTACAATTTTGTTCAGGAATTGTGGGAGTTGTAGTCCAAAACACCTGGAGTGCTGGAGTTTGCCCATGCCTGTTCTGGAGGCTAGGGCTGGGATGCCTGCTCATCCATGAAACCTACTGGGTTTATTTATTTATCATTTGAGGAGTGAACCAAGGGTACAATTGTAATGTATTTGAAAAAAACACTCTTGAAGTGCCTCTGGTGTTGCTATAAGAAAGTCCTCCATTGTGCATGTGGCAGGGCTCAGGCTGCAATGTAATAGGTGGTCTGTGGTTTACTCTTCCCCACATTCACATATCGTGGACTCCACTTTGTGGCCCCATTTCTTAAGGTTGGCTCTGTATCTCGTGGTGCCAGAGCGCAGTATCTTCAGAGCCTTCCAAGTCACCCAGTCTTCTGTGTTCCCAGGAGGGAGTCTCATTTGGTATCAGCCATGGATTGAGGTGTTTTAGCCTGCCACATTTGGACTCTCACTTGCTGAGGTATCCCTGCGAATATCTCTGTAGATCTTAGAAAACCATTTCTTGATTTAAGGCATTGGCATGCTGGCTGGTATCCAAACAGAGGATGTGCTGAAGATGGCATTGCTTTGGTCCTTTCATTATTGGCTGCTACTTCCTGGCGAATGTCAGGTAGTGCAATACTGGCTAAACCAGTGGTTCTCAACCTGTGGGTCCCCAGGTGTTTTGTCCTACAACTTCTAGAAATCCCAGCCAGTTTACCAGCTGTTAAGATTTCTGGGAGTTGAAGGCCAAAACACCTGGGAACCTACAGGTTGAGAACCACTGGGCTATTCAGTGGTGTAGGTTGTAGACATCCTGTGATAAGAGCCACATCCACTGTTTTAGTGTGATAAGATGAGTTCCACACTGGGCATGAGTACTCAGCAGTGAAGACATCTGCAGAGTAGCAAAGTACAAGGGCAGATGTCTTCACTGTATCTGGTTGTGATCCCCAGGTTGTGCCAGTCAGCTTTCATATGATTTTGTTTCTAGCGCCCACTTTTTGCTTGGTATTCAGGTAGTGCTTCTTGTAGGTCAGAGAAGGGTCTAAGGTAACTCCCAGATATTTGGGTGTGCTGCAGTGTTCCAGGGGAATTCCTTCCCAGCTCGAGATGTTTGTCTGTTCTTAACATGGGGGAGTCACACTCTCTCAGCCTCAGAGGAAGGCAATGGCAACCCTGTTCCCAACAAATCTGGCCAAGATGACAAAGATGAGCATTACCTCCACTTTTATCCTGGGAAGTGAGATCCAAAGTAGCTCACAGGCTCTAAAAAGCTACAAAATATAAATATTGTAATAGAATTCATCCCAATTCGGGTCGCCATGGGTGGGAAAAGACTTGAGAACAGGAGGCACCAACAGATTACTCCCTCCGGCTGCAAGTCAGCTCTTTGCTTGAACGCTTATCGATTTTATACATATAGCGTGAGATCATATACATATTTCCTCGAGACACACACACACACACTGCTAGATCCCACTGACCCCACATGAGCAAGGGTCTCTGTCTAGCAGGCACAGGAGGGATGAAAAGTGGCTTATCAGAGGGAAACATTGGGGGTGGGTGGGCGAAGAGGTGGGCAGTGGGCAGTCCTCTTTCCCCGGCGCTGCACCTTCCTCGGGAGGCGTGGGATGAGGTAAGACCTCCGCCTGGCGTCGCCTCCTCTCTTCAGAAGACAGGCGCCGAGGAGGTGCTCACAAGCGGAGGCGCTTGCCGGCGCCCAGGTCCCGTGGAGGGTGGACTACAACTCCCAGCGTCCCCTAGGAAGAGACTGTGCGTACCTTGGGCCAGTCGGTGGGTGTTTAGCGCAGCCAAGCGACGGAGCGGAGCAGCCAAGAGGAGGAGGAGGAGGAAGAAGAGGAGGAGGAGGAGCCGCGTCGAGAGAGAGAGAAGGAAAGAGAGAGCAGCTTTGCCGGTTGGCGAACTTTGGGCGAGGGAGAAAGAAAAGGAAAGAAGGGAAAGGAGGGAAAGGAGGGAGGAAATGAGGCAGCCTCGTCCAACAGGGTCACTGCTGGGCTGGCTTCCCCGGCTGGGTGCCTCTTCGCCTTGCTGACAGGCGTGCCCACCGGGCTGGCTGTGAATGGCTCTCTTTTTGGCTGCTGCTGCCTCTCGGGCGGCGCGTCGGGGCTCTTCGTCGAAGCGGTGGCTCTGGCGTCGGGGCTGATGCGGTCCCTTGGAAGAGGCGGCGGCGGCGGCGGCGGAGGGGGCTGAGGGGGCTTTCCCAGCCCGTCCCTCCTCCTTCCCCTCCCTCTCCCTCTCCCGGGATGTGGAGGCTGAGCCTGTGGTGGCTGCTGAGCCGGGTGGCGCTGCCCCTCCTGCCACCCTGCGCCTTCGTCCTGGCCCGGGTGCCCGCCTCGTCCTGCCACCCGCAGCCCTGCCAGATCCTCAAGCGGATCGGGCACACGGTCCGGCTGGGGGCGGCCCACCTCCAGCCCTGGCTGCCGGACGATGAGGAGGGGCAAGGGCAGGAGCGGGCGCCCGGCGGGGGCACCCTGCGCAGCCGGGCCCCCGCCAACGGCAACGGCAACGGCACCTCCTTCCTGCCCCGGGAGGCGCTGCTCCTGGCGGCGGAGCGGCTGAACGGCGTCAAGGGGCTGCTGCCTTACAACCTGTCGCTGGAGGTGGTCATGGCCATCGAGGCCGGCCTGGGAGACCTGCCCCTCTTCCCCTTCTCCTCGCCCGGCGCCGCCCAGCCCTCCTCGCCCGGGGGAAGAAGCGGCAGCGGCGGCGGCGGCAGCAGCAACGACCCGGCCTCCTTCCTGCAGAGCGTCTGCCACACCGTGGTGGTCCAAGGGGTCTCGGCCCTGCTCGCCTTCCCCCGCAGCCGGAGGGAGATGCTGGAGGTGGACTTCCTCGCCGGCGCCCTCCGCCTCCCCGCCCTCAGCATCGTCCGCGAGGAGTTCCCCACCAAGAGCCAGGTCAGACTCCTCGCCGCCTGGGATATCTGGGTTTCATAGAAGCGGGGCATGTTTGGACTGGAGAAGTTGCCCGGGAAATGGAAGTGGCTTGGGATGTCGAAGAAGGGTGCCTCGCTGTTTAGAGCAGGAATTGGCAAACTTTCGAACAGGCGTGGCCCAAGTTTGCCCGTGCCTGGTTCAGAAACTGCTTGGGAAGCGAAGGGAGGGAAACGGGCAGAGGAGGAGCGCGGAGATTTGGGGTGTGATATTTTTTGTCCTGTCTGCAAGTTGTTTCTGGTGTGAGAGAATTGGCCGTCTGCAAGGACGTTGCCCAAGAGGAGCCCGGATGTTTTTGATGTGTTGCCATCCTTGTGGGAGGCTTCTCTCATGTCCCCGCATGAGGAGCTGGAGCTGATAGAGGGAGCTCATCCGGGCTCTCCCCGGATTCGGACCTGCCACCTGTCGGTCTTCAGTCCTGCCTGCACAGTGGTTTAACCCACTGCAACACCAGGGGCTCCTGGGGTGTGATGGAACTAGGTGGCTTTTGTAGACGTTGCACATAAAGAGGAAGGATAGCAGACGGGCCGATAATGTGGGGATAAGTGGGGAGACTCCTGGGGTGGGATATTGGCGTCGAAGGGAGGGGGTGAAGGGGGGTGAAGGGGAGACTCCTGCAGTGGGACATTGGCGTCGATGCGGGCTGAAGGGGGGGGGGTTGGGGAGATTCCTGGAGTGGGATATTGGGGTCGAAGGGGGGTGAAGGGGGGGTTGAAGGGGAGACTCCTGGGGTGGGATATTGGAGCAGAAGTTATGTAGAAGTTGTTCAAGCAAGAAGCGTTAGAGAATAAATCAAACTATCATAAAACTGAGTTGTCCAAAGCTTTCATAGCCGAAATCACTAGGTTGCTGTGAGTTTTCTGGCCATGTATTGTCATGTTCCAGAAGTATTCTCTCCTGACGTTTCACCCACATCTATGGCAGGCATCCTCAGAGGTTGTGAGGTCTTTTGGAAACTACCCAAGGGAGGTTTATATATCTGTGGAATGTCTCAACCTCTGAGGATGCCTGCCACAGATGTGGGTGAAACATCAGGAGAGAATGCTTCTGGAACATGGCCATACCACCCGGAAAGCTCACAGCAACCCTTGGAGTAGACATTTAGTAGAAGTTGTTTAGGCAAGAAGCATTAGAGAGACCCCCCCCTCCCCAGCCGGATTTGGAAGGAAGAGGCTTTATTTAGGAAGATTCCTGGGATGAGAGATTAGGGTCGGGTTGTGGTGGTGCGGGGAGGGGAGGGGCTTATTACCTTGCTTTTCTGAAAGTTGCCTAGATAATGGAATTGGTGGAAGACATAGAATGGAGAATTCCTGCATGGGATACTAAATAGCTTGCTTTTTGTAGAAGTTGCCTAGATTGGGAGAGGGGGAATTCCCAGCATGGCATATTGGAGTATTTATTTCTCGTGTCAGAAGCGAATTGTGGATACAGTTAAAATGCATTTAAACACACAAAGTTTTAAAAACTTGGCATTCTGCTAAATGTCCCTTGACCAGAAGCTGGCTACTTGTGCGTGTGGCAGGGCTCAGGTTGCATTGTAGTAGGTGGTCTGCGGTTCGCTCTTCTCCACACTCGTGGACTCCACTTTATAGCCTGCACCTCGTGGTGCCAGAGCACAGCCTGTTCAGCGCCTTCCAGCTAGCCCGGGAAGAAATCTCTAATCTGGTCTCAGCGACTGATTGGAGTGCTGGGTTTTAGCCTGCCACTTTTGGACTCTCGCTTGCTGAGGTGTTCCTGCGAGTATCTCTGTAGATCTTAGGAAGCTGTTTCTTGATTAAAGGCATGGCAGCATGATATTGGAGTGAGGTGTGGGTAGTACCTCCCTTTTGTGGAAAATTACTTGGACAGAGAAGAGGGGGATATTCCTGGGGAGGGATATTGTGGAAGAATAGAAGTTGTAGAAGTTGCCCGAGAAAGAGAAGAGGAGCCACAATGAATAGGAGAGGGGACGAGGATCTGGTGGTGGGATATTGTGGGGCAGGGTAGCTCTCTTGTGTAGCGCTGAATAGGGGATGCAGGGATCTGGGGAGACTCTAATGTAAAGGTAAAGGTTTCCCCCTGACATTAAGTCCAGTTGGGTCCAACTCTGGGGTGTGGTACTCATCTCCATTTCTAAGCCAAAGAGCCGGCATTGTCCATAGACACCTCCAAGATCATGTGGCCGGCATGACTGCATGGAGTGCTGTTACTTTCCTGCCAGAGCGGTACCTATTGATCTACTCACATTTGCATGTTTTCAAACTGCTAGATTGGCAGAAGCTGGGGCTGACAGCGGAAGCTCATGCCAGGGGAGACTCTAGAAGTGGGATATTTGGGAAGAGCAGGCTCCTTTCTTGCAGGGGAAAGTGGGAAGAAGGGCTGGATGGGACGTGGATCTGGGAAGATTCTTTTGGTGAGATATGTTAGGGAAGGGATAGCTTGATTTTGCAAAAGAGAGAGTGGGATGGGGAAGGAGAGGAAGAAACCACAGTATAAATATTGAGAAAAGGGTGGAGAAGCTCGGGAAGAAGGAGTGGAAAGGGAAGCTTCGCCGGCGTCAGTGAGAAGGCATCAGCACCAAGGACAGCGCTCTTGGGCTTCTCCCTTCTCTCCCTCGTCGCCTCCGCGGTGTTGAATCGCCAAACTCGGTCCTTGTCTCTCCCTTGATCGAACTTAGGCTCCAATCTGGACAAATCGACCCAGACATCCAAGGCGAGCAGTCTGTCCTTGACTAATGGCACAGAATAAAGGCACAGGATACTTCAGGAAGGACTCCCGTGAGCCTGGGAGAAAGAAGCTTGCAACCGAAATGTTAGTAGAGCCAAACTACAGCTAGTTAAAGAGCATCGTTTCAAAGAGACAGAGAGGGATCAAAGAGTAGAGACGTTTCCAGCCACTTTCTAGTGATGTCTTCAGAAAATCTGGGTGGCTAGCCACCGAATATGAATAATCCAAGACTGGGATTGTTTAAACTGTGCTCTGGATGCTTCTACTTGACTCTTGTGTGGTTCTAAAGGTCTGAGAGATAGGTATCTCGCATCACATTTTTGGCTCTGATTCCTATTCCATGTTTGCCAAACGATTAAAGATTCAATGCCTTCGGGCTGAGAAAGGTGATATATAAATATGGTAAATAAATAAGTAAACGAGACACATGCAAGTAGAAGGAGCAAGTACTGGAGCCTCTTCACTTTTTTTTTGGTTTGTTTTTGTCATGGTTTGATTTTTGCTAATCATAGAATCATAAAGTTGGAAAAGACCACATGGGCCATCTAATTCAACTCCCTGCCATGTAGGAAAAGCACAATCAAAGCATACCTGACAGATGGCCATCCAGCCTCTCTTTAAAAGCCTCCAAAGAAGGAGCTTCCACCACACTCCGAGTAAGGGGGTTCCACTGCTAAACAGCTATTACGGTCAGGTAGTTCTTCCTAATGTTCAGGTGGAATCTCCTTTCCAGTATTTTGAACATATTGCTCTGAATCCTAGTTTCCAGGGCAGCGGAAAACAGGCCTTCTCCCTCTTCTCCATTACATCCTTTCACATATGTATACATGGCTATCATGTCTCCTCTCAGCCTTCTCCTCAGCAGTCTAAACATACCCAATTCTTTATATTGCTTCTCATAGGAATTCATGGTCTCCAGACCTTTGATCATTTTAGTTACCCTTCTCTGGACACCTTTCAGCTTGCAAATATCAATCTTAAATTGGTCTGTCCAGAACAGGACACTGTATCCTAGGTGAGATCTAACCAATGCAGAATAGAGAGGCACCATGACTTCCCTCGATCTACAGACTAGACTTCTTTTGATACAGCCTAAAATCCCATTGGCATAATATCAATAGAACAATCATGGATATTTCTGTGGGACATTTCAACACTCAACGCACCGAACACATCTCATAGAGCTTTAAACAATATCAATATATCATCTAAAACAAGCATGGGCAAACTTTGGCCCTCCAGATGTTTTGGACTTCAACTCCCACAATTCATAACAGCTGATAGGCTGTTAGGAATTGTGGGAATTGAAGTCCAAACCACCTAGAGGGCTGAAGTTTGCCCATGCCTGATGTAGAAGAAGAAGAAATCTTGTTTCTTTGCTTTGCATTAAGGATTGGGGCACCTGGGATTGTGTGAGGTAACCTATCAAAGATCAGTGATTCAGTTCATATGCCTTGACCACATGGAAGTGTAGTAAAACTTAACACCTCATTGTAGGTTTTGAAAACTTTTATTTTATTCTTTACTAGCCATCCCCTGCCACACGTTGCTGTGGCCCACATGGGAGTTCTGTGTGGGAGGTTTGGCCAAATTGTATCCTTGGTGGAGTTCAGAATGCACTGTGATTGTAGGTGAGCTATAAATCCCAGCAAGTACAACTCCCAAATGTCAAGATTCTATTTTCCCCAAACTCCACCAGTGTTCACATTTGGGCATATTGAGTATTCTTGTTGAGTTTGGTCCAGATTCATCATTGTTTGAGTCCACAGTGATCTCTGGATGTAGGTGAACTACAACTCCAAAACCAAAGGACACTGCCCACCAAATCCTTCCAGTATTTTCTGTTGGTCATGGGAGAACTGTGTGCCAAGTTTGGTTCAATTCCATCGTTGGTGAACTTCAGAATGTTCTTTGATTGTAGGTGAACTATAAATCCCAGCAACTACAACTCCCAAATGACAAAATCAATTTTTTGAGTGAAGGACATACATTGGGTTGTTAGGTGTCTTGTGTCCAAATTTGGTGTCAATTCATCAAGTGGTTTTTGAGTTCTGTTAATCTCACAAACAAACATTAATTTTTTATTTATATAGATTTAGCTGAATCTATAAGAGCAAAGCAGAGGAGTTTTTTAAAAAAACATATTTCTTTCCACATAGCAAATGTAGATATACAGAGAATAATGTTGAAATCTTTATTTGGAATAATCCTCCTTTGAATCAGTGTTGATGTACTTCTGAGATAAACTGCATAGGTTT